GGTGGTGAGTCCACTGGAAGGTACCAACCGCCCTAACTGGGATTCGAACTTGCCCAGGAGGTGAACCCTAGGGTTCCACACCAATGACAGAGACATTGCCTTTTGGCCAAAGCGCCACTTATATATATATACATATATTTGTATATATATTTATATATGTATACACTGTAACTTTTTAAAAATGCATGTAGTTTATAACAAAAGCATATTCAGATCCAATACTTATTAGGTTACTAGTGTAGTCCTAGATTTTTCATCTAAAAATAGAATGACATCAATATTTTTGTTTAGAGAAATTTTACTTGCTCATGATCTACCAGTAGTCCCTTTGTGATCTACTGGTAGATCGTGACCTTTGTGTTGGGCACCCATGCTTTAAATAATCCCCAAAAATGTAACTTGACCAGATTATTCCACAAGGACAAGTAAAATATGTTATTATTTGGTCACATTGTCACATGGTCAGTAGTCATGGTCAGTAGTCATAGTCAGTAGTCATGGTCAGTAGTCATAGTCAGTAGTCATGGTCAGTAGTCATAGTCAGTAGTCATGGTCAGTAGTCATAGTCAGTAGTCATGGTCAGTAGTCATAGTCAGTAGTCATGGTCAGTAGTCATAGTCAGTAGTCATGGTCAGTAGTCATAGTCAGTAGTCATGGTCAGTAGTCATAGTCAGTAGTCATGGTCAGTAGTCATAGTCAGTAGTCATGGTCAGTAGTCATAGTCAGTAGTCATGGTCAGTAGTAGAGTCCATCATACTAATGGCGTATTACAAAAAGCAACACCATGTGAAAGAACAACATTAGTCAATGTGCACATAGTATTCTCCTGCTTGTGTTGGACCAGGGTCTGCACTCTGGTATCATTGTTAGCTCTAATCCCTCATACCACAAAGGTCACTGGTTCCAGTCTCCGGCTCCTTGACTTTCAGTGTGAAGTTTCCATGTTTTCCCTGTGTGTGGTGGTCCTGTTTGGCTACTACGGTTTCCCTCCACAGTCGTCAAACACGCAGATTAGAGACGAGGTTAATGGAACACTTCACGTTGACTCAGGTGCTCTGATGTGCGTGTGAATGGATGTTTGTCTCCAGACCAAGCCCTGAAAATGACTGCAGAACTGTCCCGGGTCTACCCTGCACTTTGGCCTTTTGTCAGCTAGGATTGACTCTGGTTTCCCTCTGTGAGCTTTAATAGGATGAAGTAGCAGAAGATTATCAAATGAAAGTCTGTCCTGAAGTGTCACAGAGTTCTATTGTGCTGTGAACCATGTGGTCGCTTTCCATGTGAAAGGGATTTCGTCAACCTAGGAGCTACATATAT